TGTGTGTGTGTGTGTGTGTGTGTGTGTGTGTGTGTCGTGTGTGTGTGTGTGTGTGTGTGTGTGTGTGTGTGTGTGTGTGTGTGTGCGTGCGTGCGTGTGCGTGCGTGCGTGCGTGCGTGTGCGTGTGTGTGTGTGTGTATCTGGGTGGTTTTTTGTTGTACCATCTGCTTCCACATGCCCCCGTCTTCAGCGCCCCTCATCTCACCCACCCATCACGATGACATGTGTGTGTGTGTGTCTGTCTGTCTGTCTGTGCGTGCAACGATAGCGGACGAACGAGCTGCTGCAGCTGCAGGCACTGCTTGACCAGAAGGAGAAGGAGACGTGGGAGACGAAGGAGATGGAGCTCCGGGAGCAGCTTGAGGACGACCTCGAGTTTGACCCGACAAAGACCCTGGTCCGTGGCCTGGTGGTGTGCCTCTGGGGTAGTGTGTGGTGTTGTGTGATGTGGTATCGTGTTTGTGTGGTCTGCTTGTGCGGCGTGGTGTGCTATTGTGTGGCGTGTGGTGTTGTACGGTGCGGTGTAATCATGTTTGCAGCACCATTTGCACAGCCCTCACCACCTCAATCACCTCAATCACATCTGCCATTGCAACCACCAGGGCCCCAAGCCTGTGCCTGGTGGGCTGCTTGGTACCGGGCCAGCACAGCCGGTTCCCTCTGAAGCCGTCATCCCAACAAACATTGCAGACGATATTGAGAGCCTCACCGAGGAAGAGGTGTGTGTGTGTGTAGATGTGTGTGTGTAGTTGTGTGCGTGTATATGTGTGTGTATGTGAGTGAGTGTGTGTGTGCATGTGCGTATGTGAGTGTGTGTGTGTGCATGTGTGTGTGTGCATATGTGGGAGGTGTGTGTGTGTGTGCAGCCTTAACCGCGACCGTGCTAGCCGTCCTCAATATCATCGTCTCTGTTTCTTGCCCTCCCTCACTCCTCCATTCCCTCGCCCTGTAACCCGTGGCTGCCGTGTTGCCCTGGTTTGTGTTGTTCACTGCCTCAGGAGGACCTGACGCGCCCGCTCTCCCATGCGGAGATGAAGCAAAAGCTCATGGCCACCATGTCCCGCAAGGCCAAGGCGTAGCCGCTCCCAAACCCAGCAAGATGTTGCCCTTTCCCAAGCTCTCATACACACTGCCCACATGACGGCGCGAATGCTACGTGCCTATGCTTCATCTGATGGGACCGCTGGTTCAACCATCACACCGCATCCACTACCTTCCTGTTTTTGTTTTGTGCGCACTCATCTCTCCTCATCGCCCACTCTTCTTGATTGTTAAGACCGCGTCTCATCTGTCACAACCACACGTAAATGAAGGAACACCAACCTCCGCCTGCACACACGCAAAAAAATAGACACCCATGCACACACACACACACACACACATATGCAATGCAAACCCACCCACACAATCGTTTTGTATTGCTGGCGGCATCGTTGTACTTCAAGTCAACCACAAGCATCAATGAATGGCAATGAACGGAGGCCGGAGCACACGTCCAAGGAGATCAACAATTCATGCACACGCAATGAATGTGAGACATAGCAGAGACAAAAAGGAGAGAAAGGTGGGGGGGGGGGACAACTAAACAGACAGGCCGAAACAGCTCCCAAGGCTTAAGGTGAATTGGTGGTGGCGGCAGTGGTGGAACGACCACGGGACATCACATGTCACAACAAGTGCGCGACTTGATGCACGTGGCTTGTGTAGCAGCACCTGTTTACCACTCGATGCCAGCGGCCTCAAGAGCGTCGCCGTCGAGCATGTCGTCCTCGTCCTCGTCCTCACGCACAAGACCCTTCTTGGCGAGGAAGCTGTAGCCGAGGTTCATGGCCTCGTCGCGCATCTTCAGTGGGAAGCGCTCGTTGTCCTTGTCGGCGGGGACGGTGGCCTTGACAAAGTCCTCGCCCTCCTCGACGATCTTGCCGTTGTACATGCCAAGGAAGACCTCGACCCACTCCTTGGGAGTGACAACCTCGTGGCGGTCCTTGGGCACGTGGCAGATGATGGCGAGCTGGTCGTTGTTGGCAGACAGGAACATCTTGCCGAGGTGGCCGGCACCACCCTTGCGGTCGTCGGCCTTCTCGTCGACCTCGACGTTGGCGCCGTCAAGGGCGTGCTGCAGGAGCTCGAGGGAGCCCTCGCACTTCTCCATGGCGACGTGGAAGTAGCTGGTGAACACATGGCAACCAAGGGCGTCGTGAGTGAGTGAAAAGACCAGGCATGGCAGCAGCTAGTGCAACAAGTGGAGGCATGCGCGCACCACGCACAGCCGCGAGCACGATGTGCATGCACGACGGCAATCACAACGCTTTAGAAGCGCAAGAAATGCCAGAAGCACAAGAAATACCAGACACACAGACACAGACTACGCTGCTGCTTACCTGATGCCACCCATGTCGTGCATGCCGGAAAGGTCCTGGCCCTTCTTGCCACCCTCCTTCTTGGCGGCCTTGATCTGCTTCTCGGTGAACTCAGGCATGGTGTCGGTTCTTTGTCAAGTGTTGTGGGAGGGGGAGGGGGTGTAAGTGGATGCGTGTGTGGACGCGTGAGTGAGTGTTGGTGACAGAGAGGAGATCGCACCGCACAACTACAAGCAAAAGAAATGAAGTTCAAGTTGCAGTTCAAGTTACAACAAGACAAAAGTAATGCACGAAGGAGATCAGAGGTGCACAACACACACAACACACACAACACACACACACAACACAACACACACATGTACACTACACGCCCACAGCCTTAACCGCACCCTTGTCGTTGTGTGTTACAACGAAAAGATAGCCACACCACTCCACTTCTCTCACCTGTGTGTGATTGGTCTGCAAGGGCTTGGTGCACGTTGTGTTGATCTGGACGGAAAAAAAAAAGGCACAAGCAGCACAGCAAGAGGAGGAGGAAAGGAACGCACACGTGTGCGTCTGCTTTGTTTCTTGTGCGAAACGTAGATGGTGCGCACTATCCACCGCTGACGCAAGAGCAAGGAGGTGAGTGAATGAAGCAATCAGAGAGGAAGGTGATGGCTGGGGGGTAGGATGGCTGTGGTTGGATCGGTGGGGATGAGTGAATGGGTGGCAGAGGAGGGGTGTGTGGTGTGTGGTTTGCTGTGTGTGTGTGTGTGTGGTGGGTGGGAGTGTGTATGTGTGCTGTTTGCTGTGTTGTCGGTGTGGTGCACACAGCACCTGCAAGATCTCAGTGCGAATGCAGATGAGTTGTGACAGCAGTGATCTGCGAGGTTGTGCAGTGTCCATGTTCGGCGTGTGTTGGAGTGCGAACGCAACGCCTCATTCCGCACTCACACCACCGTCCCTGCCATTGTCGCCCCGTGGTTGCCTGATCCCAGTATCCAGCAAACATACCGTGTCTGCCTCTCGTTTTGTATTCACCAACACAAACTCATCATGTCTTCTGAGAAGCCAAGCGCCAAGCGCAAGGCAGAGGATGCCGAGGTGAGCCTGACGCTTTGGTTAGCGTGTCTTGTGGTGTGTGTGTGTGTGTGTGTGAACTGAGGTGAGGATCTCACGGACTATTGCTACCCCTCCACCTCTATCCTAATCTAAAGATACACAACGCATCACCCCCCCCCCCGCCCGCGCACAACCCACACGCACATGCAGACGCCTCTGCGCCGGCTGCTGGTGTCCACGACGCTGGCTGATGTGCAACATGGCCGCCGCCGCGTGGTGTCCATCAACCACAACGCGACGGCGGACGATGCACTGCACGAGCTGGCCAAGGAGCACATCCTGTCTGCACCCGTCGTCCTCGCCGCCTCCATTGAGGACCAGGAATCCGACACATACATGGGCATTATCGACATCTCCGCCATTCTCAAGGGCCTCTTTGAAGGTGTGCCATGTGTGTTTGTGTGTGCGCGTGTGTGTGTGCGTTTGTGTGTGTGCGTGTGTGTGTGCGTGTGTGTATGTGTTACTGTGCCAAAGGAGTGTGTGTGTGTGTGTGTGTGCGTCCTTGAAGCGGCGTCAGCTTCATGGCTGTGCGAACAATACCTCACATGTGTATATGTGCGTGTGTGTGTGTGTGTGTGTGTGTGTGTGTGTGTGTGTGTGTGTGTGTGTGTGTGTGTGTGTGTGTGTGTGTGTGTGTAGACGTGCTGTCCAAGGCGAGCGAGAAGGCGTTCCGCTGGGAGGCGCTCAAGGAATCTGCACAGCCGTTTTTCGACCGCAAGGTCATCACCCTTCTCGGCAACGACGTGCAACTCCGCTACCGCGGTGAAACCACGCAGTCCCTCCACGACCTCATCGCAGACGGCTTCCTCGGCGCAGGTCCGCTGTGCTCTGTGTTCTGTGTGTGTGTGTGTGCATGATTGGTGGTGTCGTTGTGCTTGCTGGTGGGCATTCACATTGACGTCATGCTGCCACTGTGTGCCACGTGTCACCCCCCCCCTCTTGTATCTGCTATGCAGGCGAACATGAGCAAGCGCACGACCTGGCCCACCGCATTGCCATCTTCACACCAACGGGCCGCATCAACGACGTCATCTCCATGGTGCGGCCTGTGTG